GTGCTTCCCTTTCCACTATCTCCAGACACTAATAATTACATTGGCATTTAGCGCCGTGATAAGCCGACCCTATGGCCTTTATGAAATGTTCCCCGGGCCCAGATGCTGAGCAAAATATAGACCGGAGCGACGCCGCGTATCGATCCGTCCACCCGCCCGTCGTCGTCCCAGCGTTTCATCTTAAGAAAAGAGGCGGCGTTCATTAGCGCCATTAAAGAGTCCGACAACAACACCTGGCTGATTCTGTCGGTAAAGAGGGAAATCGCTGGAAACGGGCCCGGTGTGGTTCTGGACTTGGGTGGGCCGACGGTGACGAGTTAGCGCCGATGAATAAACGGCATCAGCCACAGGAAGCACTGGTTTTACTTTACTGTCGCCGAAAAGTTTAAAGGTTCTTATTTATGTGGTGCTACGTCGACTTACAATCTAAAAATAACGAGTCAGGACAACTTCTAACAAACTACACTGAGTTAGCTGTTCTTCTACGATCAATTATATTTTTAATTATCAGCCCGAATCATCTGAAACAGTCGGAACTGGTGAAGAAAATGTCAGTTTTCAGGCCGATTTTATGAGTTTACCTTGACCTCGAAGTTGTTTTTTCAATCCACTAACGAATAAAAGTGGAGTTTAAATCACGCACAGTTTCAAGTTGGCACAATTACCAACATTATTACGTCAACTCGACCCGTCAAAATGTTTAAATAAGTTTATTTGAATCAGTTAATAACATTTTTTTAATCTTGTAGTCATGGATTTCGGTGAAAGTCTCGATGCCAGAAAACAAAGAAAAATTTAAAAATTGTGAAAATCCGTGTAAAATATCGACATGCTTACCTGATTTAACTGCAGTAAAACAGTGTAAGTTTATTTATTTATATTCAGATGTAAACATTATTTGCAGTTTTAAATATAATGCTAAGAAAGATTTACCATTCTTCGATTTTTGATATACATATTGGTTTGTCTTTTTTTTCTTAAATACTAACAAATACCTGAATATTATAATTTTTTTCAAATTTAAATGCATTTCTTAAAAAAAAAAAAAAAGTGTAATTTTATGGTTAAATGTCATAAAAGAAAATGCACATTTCTGAAATTTGGGACATAATTTACATTTTTGTTTTTTTTGGGGGGGTCAACATGTAAATTAATACTTCTTCTGTGATTTAGTTAGTCACTGGAAGCTTTAAAACAGAATAATTCTAAAAGTTATTTACTGTTTTTCAATCTTTAATATACAGATTGTTGTTTTTGTTTGTTTGTTTTTTTAAATACTAGCAAGTACCGGGATAATATTGTCTTTTTTTGTTGATTTAAATTCTATTTATTTATTCGTTTTTAAAAAGTATAATTTTATGGTCAAATATCATAAAAGAAAATTTGTTAAAACAACAATTATTTACAGTTTTGGCTGCAAATAACTTTTTCTTTTTCCTCAGATTTTACATGTTATTATCTGTAATTTAACAAAACAGGAAAAAATCAGTAAAATGAGAGTAAATTGATTAAAATAATTACAGTTAAACAGCTGTTTTTTTCTTTTATAGTTACTTTTCTGGGGTCCTTTTATGTTTTTAAATAAAAATAGACTAACGTGTTGATGAGGTGACTGGATGGATCAGTGCTAATGAGCATTTCAACATTCCTGTTTCTCATCATTGGCTAATCTGTCGCTCTTATTCCTGATTAATCCGTGAATTTACGTCTCGCCAGTGGCTCCAAACTACCAAACAGATGGAGACCCTGGATCTCTGAATCCATCCACATGTTTTCATTCATTTCCTCCCGACTCTGAATCGTATCGCGACTCCATATTGTCCTTAAAACGGAGACACGAGCTGCAGGAATCAACGGGAAGCCTTGTGAAGTTAGCCAAAAAGCTTCAGAGTATTAAGTTTGATTATCCTTTACCTAATTACTTTGCCTCAGGTGGCCTAATCAGCTGCTACGATGAAGATTATTTTATGGCTTATCAGCTCCGGCTGCATCAATGGATGCTTAAGTCACAATTACTGTAAACAAGCGTTTAGTTTGTAAGAATCTCCCTGAACTAGTTGCATTTTAATTAGCTGTCAGGAGTCATTCTGCCTCCGTTCCACTTCCTCTCCTCTTGGATTTTATTGTCAGATTATTCATATTCGTGGACGTATTTTACCTCCAATAACTTTCCTGCAATTTCCTTTTCTTTCCTTTTCTTTTCTTTTTCCTCCCGCCGCTGGAATAATTTCACAAAGCAATCGCTCAGGGTCTGCCCCGGTAATCTGCCACCGCCAAATTAAACCGCACATCTCAGCCTGGAAATTACCAGGTTTCAGCGAAATCCATCTTGGGATCGGACGGCGGGGCTCTGGGGGGGAGTTCGCACCTCGGCCCTGGTCGGCTCGGGCCGAGATGACCGCTGTTCTGGACGTCTGGGGAAATCTGCTCCGATTATGTAGCTGCAGGATCCTCATCTGTCAGCAGCCTGAAGCAGCAGCGCTAGCAGCTCGTCTCTATCTGGGTTTGATAGGAATGAAGCTGCAGCTCTGTCGTCGTACATCCGGTGGTGATGCTGCCGCTGGTTCGTGCTAATAGATACCTCGTCTTTCTCTTTGTTTGTGCTGTTTCCACATATTTCATAACTCTGACGAGGAGAGAAACCCAATATTCTGCTGCCAGGTAGATGTTTGTCGAGCGGTGCTGGTGGGACGTAACCGTGTTATTTGATCTGTTCGCTCTCGTAAGGCGACGTCTTTGCATACTGTTCCATCAGCCGGCTGCGAGTTTTCACTTAACCAGCTCGGAAATTAATGTTTGTGCTGCGAGTTTAGTTCGACGACTTTTACGCACGAAAGAAAAAAAAAAGTCCTGAAGAGCCTGAAGCTCATAAACATCTGGTGGAATTATCAACTTAATGTTTATGATTTTTAAAAAAAAGGCAACAAGTGGCGTGAATGGAAGAGTTAACAGAGTCAAATAAAGAGTTTGAGGGCTGATAAATATGTTTTATGTGTTAGATAATTAACTTTATTAATGCAAACATACAAAGTGGACAATAAAAATAAATGTTTTTAGATTGAGATGTTTTTTTTTTCTTCTTTAACTGCAGAAAAAAACTGAATTTGAGTCGTGGTATCAATTAATTAATAGATAATCCCCCCGACTATCGGTTAGAAAATTAGTTTATAATCAGGAGAGTAAGTGAACCAACGTGTTTGACTTCCTTCAGCTGGATCATTGCTGTTTACTGTAAAGTAGAAAACCAGAACATATGTGGAGAAATTGGGTTCAAATCTGGCACAAACAGTCCAACGTAGATACACATCCTGCAGTTCAGCCGAAAAATTATTGAATTTTCATCACATGACCGTCGGTCACAGCCGAGTCGTGCATGTCTTCACGGTTGCGCCGACGTTTGTAGAATTTTTTATTTTTTACAGAATCAGTTTGCTGTAAACTGTTTGTGCTGAATTTTGAAATGAGACGTGTGGAATCTATATATATAAATATTTCAGTTTTAGGCTCAGTTCTGGTTCATTTTTCCAACTAAATGGCGCGTCACGGTTAAAGAGAGTCAGGAAGTTGAAAATCCAACATTGTTTTTCTGTTTTTGCAGTTTGTAGTTTTGTTAAATCAATTAAATAAATTTAAATGATGGATTTTTAGGTTCAGGGAGGTGAACAGGTGGCAAAATTTTGTCTCATATTTTGATTTGTGGCAGTAACAGAACCGATTAAAGTCCAACTGGTCGACATCTATACCGGTTATGTATGAAAGTCTGTTTATAACTGTAAGTTTCTCCTTGAAGTCTCAAAATATGGCAAATAATTCCATTACCAACAGCATAACCATCACTCAAACTCATGTTTCCAAATATTCACGTGTGAGAATCTGGACTAAGGGATCGTTTTCCTTTAACAGGCTCAAGATTCTGAACAAAGAGACGCAGCAGCAGCGAAAAAGTCCAAATCCTCCACAACAGACGCTGAACTTTAGCCCCAAACAAAACCTCCCGTTCAGCTCATTTCCTCTGAAACAAACAGGCTCTGAAAGGAACCACCTAAGCACAAAAGAACTCGATGCCATTCACGTCCGAGGTGATTCACAGCGACCTGCCTTCCAGTCGGCGCGTCCGCACTCGTGTTTATTAGCTTAGCTTAATTGTGCATAGTGTCTAAAGGTCAGCGCCCGCTGTGATACATCGCTGCCAAAATGGCTTCCAGGGGACACTGTTTCAGATGAATAAACACTGAAAGCTGCACCAGCCTCCACCCCTCCATCACCATCCTTTACCTCCCAATGCGCCGCCGCAGCAGCAGCATCGCATTCGGCTTTTTTTTCCCAAGCACAAGGTCCTGTGACTGATGGGCATCCACTGGTACGCACCGCCTCACTGACTTCCATTTCAGCTGGCAAAAAAGGCAGTAGATTAATTCGCTTGTCAATTTTTTCCCTCCTTTTTTTTTCTTCTTCTCTTCCCCGCTGCAGGAGTTCATCGAGATCGGAGGACTGATGCGTTTGTCCTCCAGCGGATTAAAACACGCGGCGTATATGTGTATAACCACAGCCCCGCCTGGTGATGAATGGCGTTTGACTTCTATAAGCAGTAAACTTCCTCCGTTTGGCTGTAAAGAGCTGATTTAATGAGCGGGCGGCCTGAATAGATGAGCGGATATGGCGGCGGGGATTATGGGGAGGTGAGCTGAATGGGAGACGGATGATGTGCGGTTTATTATCAGTTATGTAATGCACTTTTTATAAAGCTCCTACCTGCGGGGCCGCCGGGCGCCCCGACAATGGACGGCGAGCTCGTGCGCTCCCGTAGATGCGTGTCAGGACGTATACGCCGAGGACAAGCGTACATTTGTATATTAAGAATTTACAATAGAAGGAAGAGGCCTCATACGCTGAGTGCCTGTAAAGACGCGTCCGCGGGCCCATGTTTGATTCATACCACAGTTAATATTACATGCTTTTGTGTGCCGTTTGCTAATCCCGACCCCCCTCTCGCCCCTCAGGGTTTGCTGGGAGGAGGGCGTCAGATCGATCTCGCCGAGTTTCGACGGACGCTCTGGGACGTCCTAACGAGAGGAGACAGCGTCAAGGTGAGACCCGTCAGTCTTGGTTTCCAGCAGCCACCGTTGGTTTTCACCATTTCTCAGAGCTAACCGTGTTCTTTATTCACGCTTTCATTTGTTTATTTCTAATATACTAGTATAATAAACTTGTGGTTGAGGTTAGTGAAATCCATCGACTGGTCTTTGTTAGAAAGTCTTAGAACCTTGGTGACTTTAGGGTTGGGTCTTGTTCTGTATGTTATTACTACAACGCTAAACTCTGCTTTTACCTTAATGCATGATTAGTGATTTTAATCTAATGATGTAATATACGTTTTTCTGCATTTGAGTATGTTTACGTTTAACACAATCGTACGATTTCCTGATTTTATTGACATACTTTTGCTTTCAGTAACATTTCCAATTCAGAACTTGTTTCTGTTCAGTATCTAACGCCACGACGGCTTCAACGCAACGTAAAGCGATCGTAGACGTTTAGTTTTGTGTTATTGTGATCTACAACTATATACGGCTCATAAACTATCAACAGTTGACTTCTGCATTATCAATTTTTTTGCTGAAAACAAGCTCAAAAATGGGATTTTTCATGACAACCTCCATTTTTTCATACTTCAACTCACCTATAATCAGATATTATTTGATCTACTTGTCCAATATTACAGATTTTCAATCAATGACATGATGAGAAATAATAGTGGAAATTTCAGGTTTTTATCTGTAATGGTTTCTGAGATATTGTCGTTCAAATAGCCTCAAATTTCAATGCGCAGAAAAAACTCCTAAAAGTGGCTCGATGGGCATTTTTAAAAAAGAACTATCTCAGAAATTATTCAATATATTACGCTACAATTTCACAGATACCATCTTACATGTCCCCAATTTATGCTAAAAAAGTTTCAAGCAAATCAGAGATGGTGAAGCCGAAGAAACCTGATGGTTTGAGATGGAATAACCCATTAGCGAATGTTAGCATGCTAGCACTTTGAACCAAGATGGTAAACGTTGCTGTAAAGTCTTACAGGAATAAAATGTCTTTTACTGAAACCAGCTCCTCTTACGGTCTCTCTGGTGTTCCCATAGTTTAGTTTATCTTTGCAGACGCTGACTAAGCTAACGCTTGGACTCTCTCCATTCCTTCAAAGGGCACCGTCAGGACTCGGTAAACGGTGTGAATTTGCATGCCAAAGTTCACCAAAGTTGTGGGACGAAGCAAATTTACTTTGAGTGAATCTAATGATGATGCTGGAAGTTACTGACTAAACAGACCATGTGTGACCATCAATCCTCCTAGTCCTCAAAGTCCTCGCACAACCCGAACACCGTCCTACGTAGGAAAGCAAAGCTTCGGTATCTCCACCGGCTGTGTGCAATAACCTCCAGAACAACGTGGAGACAAGAGAAAACCTCGGCGATAAGCGTAAAATGAGCAGAAACTGTGTTCCTTTAACCGAAGTGTGCAAAGGCTTGATTACGGCGGAGTTGTAAATGTAGCTGTCACAACACAAATTACCTCGTATCACCCTCCTCCTCCTCCTCCTCCTTCGTCTTCTTCTTCTTGTTTTTTTCCTTGAGTCTCCAAACTGCTAGCATATTTCTCAGGTTTTATAAACCACATGTTTCCATCTGACAGCCGGAGCCTTAAAAGAAAATGTCCGCCGCTCCTCATCTCCTGAACCGAGGACGTGGAAAGTGCCAGATAGCATCCTTTCATTTCCGCTCCTCCAGATAAAAAGATGAGAGGACCAAAGTGAGGCCTATCGCCGGGCGGCAGTGATTGAGTCCCGTCGCTAAGCCAAAGCGAGAATCTGCTCAAATAACCCGCTCCGCCGATAAGAAGCTAGTCATTTCCATAGACAAAAAAACATCGGGGTTCAGATTAGATTTCACCGTCCGCCTGCCTTATCTCGCTGTTGCTCCATCATAGGCTGTGAATTATACGGCAAACTCCTGTCCTCCGTCCTTCCACCAAAACACCGCTGAAATACATACGGGCATCAAATGAAGCGATTGTTCGCAGGCGGGAATCGACAAAACCTGTTTTTTATTTACCGTGTAGGGATCGTTGGAGAAGTTTGCTGCTAACAGCTGCTGCTGACGCAATTGGAAATGGATGTTAGTTTAAAAAAATAAGTTATCACCACTAATACTGATGTAAATTTTAGTTTGTGGTGCCTCAGTTGGGGAATCTAAAGATTGCTCAATGATTTTTGGGTTAAACCAGGAAATATCTGCAACCCTAAGAATCAGACGAAGCGTCCATCGTTCTGTTTTTGTCAGAGAAACAACTAAACAATGCCAAAAATACGACTAAATACTGAATAATGTGTTCAATGCTCTCGAAAATTTGCAGTAAAGCAGCTTCGAGTTTATTTTATTTACGAACAAACTGCAGCTCAAAACCAGTCACTAGCCAACAAGGTTGTTGTTGAATTAATGAACAAAAACACGGAAAATAAAACTAGTGAAGAAAGTCTAATTGGAGCGATTTATATTTTGTTGTTCGTCAGTTTAAATGTGTTACTTAAGTACGTAACACATGAAATAGTGCGGAAATAGCAATCTGAAAAACTTAATAAATGCCAAAAATATATAATAATAATAAACTTTAAGGCTTCTTTTTAAACAATAATTATGGAAAAATCAAATTGGAGCAACTTAAATTCTTTATGTTCGTCAACTTAAAGTCTTTTGTTCAAACTTACAGTATTTAAATACTGAAATATTCCCCTTAAATATTGTGGAAATGCTAGTTGGAACAGCTTGATTTTGATGAGAAATCAACTTTAAACCTTGTTATTTTCCTACCAACTGTTAAATAAGTGGTTGTAGTTTTATTGTTTATTTTTTCGTGGACGGTTCGTTAGCGTCTAATTTGTTATTTTATTAATTTGTTGAGTTTAATTTCATCAGAAGTTGTTGTAATAACTGAAACAATATTATTTAGAGTGAAAAGCAAAAATAAATATAAGGGAAAGTAAAATAATACGACAATTTGTGGCACATTTCTTACCAAATGGCTTCATGATAAGGTGTGCTATTTTGCTATTAGCCTCCAATGCTACGTATGCTAGCTGTCATTTTCTTCTACGTCCTCGGCTCTTTGACTTTTCTCCAGACGCCCAAATCAAAACTCCAGATGAGGAAAAAGCTGTTAAAGAAAACATGACGACAGTTTTGACCTTTTCGTGCCGACACAAAGAGACTGAATTAGCTGCCGACTGTAGCGACGGCGGCGGCTAATGGTGCGTTTCATTCCTCGCCGGGCGCCATGCTAACGTGGCTACGTGAGCCTGGCAACGGAGGCGAACACAAAGACCGCTAACGAGTCACCAAACCTCCCTTACAGCCTAATTAGTGACTAATTATTCAGTCTTTTCTCTGATTTTAAAACGACTTCTACGTGTCACGGTGTTGCTGCGTCACCGCCGACGCAGTAAATAGATGAGGATGTTTCATTTATTTATGATGTTTTTATGGATAGTATGCAGTAAAATGACACTAAAAAGTCTTAATTTACTGTTACTTTGGACAAACCAGCCAAGTTTGAGTTGTTTTGGACAACTTTAAGTCATTTAGGACCAATTTTAAGGTATTTTGGACAAGTTTGTAGTCTTTAAAACAAAATCTGAGTTATGATGGGCGTATTTTAAATAATTTAGAATGAACTTTGGATTATTTTGGACAAGTTTTATGTAATTTACCACCAATTTAGAATTATTTTGGACAAGTTTTGATTGATTTAGGAAATATTTTGAGTTATTTTGGACAATTTTCATGCATGTAGGAGACATTTTGAGTTAGTTTTCATCCTTTTAAAAGTAATTTAGGACAAATTTTTAGTTTTCTTAATAAGTTTTAAATAATTACAGACATGTTTTGAGTTATTTTGGACACGTTTTAAGTCATTTAGGACACATTTTGAGTTATTTTGGATAGGTTTTGAATAAATAAGGACCTAATTTGAGTCATTTTGGACATGTTTTAATTTTTTTAGGACACATTTTGAGATACTTGTCAGTATTTTAAAGTCATTTCGGATCAGTTTTGAATTATTTTGGACAAGTATAAGATTGCTTCTGGTACTAAAACAATAATCACTGTGAGGCTTTGTGGCGTCTTTTAGCAGGACATGTCAACAAAGTGTGAGAAAAGGTATTAAACAAACAACACAGCGTTATAATTGTAATTTCCAGTCAGTTCCTGTACACTCGATCACACTACAATATCCTCTTCTGCTCAGCTTGCCTCCGTTCTTTAGATCTCTGACTGGGAAACACGTCCTTAATTGTCCTATCAGCTCAGAAGCCATCCAGACTGGCAGAGCTGCTGTTGAAGGTTGCTGGTGTTTGCAAACAGATGCCGTCGGTGTAGAATGGCAGTAAATACACGGCGCTCAACTTTAAACGTTAGCGTGCGTCCCGGCCTGTAATTTAGCCGCGACGGCGGCGTCGACTGCACGTGTTGTGACAAAACGCGGCGCCGCCATCACACGTCAACAATGGAAACACTGAACTGTCTTCGGCGGCGGCAGGTTTTGTAAATGTGGAGCAGAGCCGGAGTCTTCCTGGGACCGGGGGGCTCGGAGGTGCACTCGTGTGAGGCGCTAATGGACCCCTGCTGGTGTCGCTGCTGCAAAGAGGCCTAAGCAAAGCTGACATCCAGAGCTTTTGGGGGCCTCCATCCATCTCCCCCTCCTCCCGCCGCCGCTCGCTTTTTAAGCAAAGACAACTTTGGTGAATATTTCATGGGGCGCATTGCCTCAGTTTCAGCGTGTCGAGCTCAGGAAGTGGCACGCGATGACGCCTGACAGCCCCATATGTCGGCGTCCGCTAGGCGACAGTCTTTCTTTGTGGTCCGACGCCGCTCTCAGCCTCGGTTTCCTTCTGTCGCAGACTCCGGGCCCTTCAGCCGAGCTGCTCGTCATTTAGCTGCTTCTTTAAATCTTCGTCCGACTTCTGCTGATCCATCTGATGCTGGTGGTGGAAACGCCGGCATACGGACACTCATCTGCTTTTTGGGTTTTTTAA